GATAATTAAATAACTAACTAACTAATTAATTAATTAACTAACTAACAGACTAACTAAATAAATAAATAACCAAATAACCAAATAAATAAATGAATAAATAAATACAAAATAAATACAGAAATAAAAAATAAATAAATGAATAACTAAATAAATAAATACAGAAATAAATAAATACAAAAATATATAAATATATAAATATATAAATACATAAATAAATAAATACAAAAATAAATATATAAATATATATATGCTTAGCTTAAAGTGATAAGAGGACTGGTAGTTCAATTTTTCCAACATTGATATGAATAGACCTCACACGTTGTCTTGCTTTCCCAAAAAGTATTATCATCCAGGATAGACTTACCTGCAAGTTTGACCACTCCTGCAGTGGTCTCATCAGCACCCTCAGCGGGACTATAACCAAGACGATGCAGTGTGTAATCTCGACATGTTAAAAACTAAGCCACTTTGCTACGAGTGCTCTTGGGTGACAGACTATATGTGAATTTTAAGGAAGGCAATGCACTTGCCATATCACAATCTGTGGTGAAGATGTCGATGAAGCAAAGTTGTATTTGCTAAAGGAATCGACTATGTTACGTATGCTCCGTTTGTAAGTGGTTAACTTGGCGAGATTAGACGCTGCACTGTCATGGCTCGAGTCCCGCTGAGGGGGCTGATGAGACCATTTCAGGAGGGGTCAAAAATGCAGTTCAGTCTAGTCTGGATGAGAATACTTTTTGGGAAAACAAGGATGTGTTGAATTCAATAGAAATGTAAAGTCTATTCGTATCACTGTGCGAAAAATTCAGCTACCAGTCCCCTTATCACCTTAAATAAAATTGGGTGAATTCACTTCACATATTCATGTTAAATGTGCCCAAAATAAAAGCCGGAACACTTTTGTCTTCCTGGTTTTAAGGTTGCAATTTTAAGCTCACCGATGATCACGAATGCTAGCTTGGCGTAGAGGAACCTGTAAGCAAAGGAGTTCGAATAACCTAGACCATTATTTATATTTCCACTCTGGATAAGAACAACTTTTGGGAAAGCAAGACTATGTACAATTCAATGGAAGCGTCAGCTCTACTCATATCATTGTGGGAAAATTCTACTACCAGTCCTTCATCACCTTAAACGAAATTGGGCTTCCACATTATTTATAGTCATAGAGATAAGGTTTAAGGACCATCAGTAAACTTTGAATAAAATTTGTATTCAGCCTAGGTCGCATCAAGTGATAAAGGATTGATAGACGAATTTTCCCATGACCTCACATTTCGATTGGATCAACCTTAGTATCGCTTCAAAAAAGGTATTCTCCTCCAAGAGGGACTGCAATTTCATCAGCACCCCCATCGGGACCAGAATCCGGATTATGCTAGTGCAACGTATAATCTCGATATGGTACAATTACTCCTGGGATATCAAGGAAGACTAGGCCTCTCCAGTATCGTATTATGATAGCGGCATTGTCAATGAGGCCAACTTATCTTTTGCCATCACAGTTTAACCTGTTACTTATATTCATATAAAGTAGGTTTCTGGGCTACCGAGAAGTTTTTTATAAGAGTAAAGGCCAGCCTGTAAGAGGCCACCTTTTGGGAAGCAAGATTAAGTGTAATTAAATGAAAACGTGTGGCCTATTTATATGATGGTGTGAAAATTCAACTTTCTAGTTCTAGGAAGATCTAGTCCAACAAAAACTTTTATTTTGGAAGCGTATCAATCAATTTTGAATGAAAATAATTTCCGCTCAATAAGCAATACATTCCAAAATGTTGATCATTTGGGATGGCATAGGGAACCTGAGTCTTTGGCTCATGTTAAGGTTTTGCTTTTTTACTCTTCTTTCAAAAAGTTAGGCAGGCTAGCTAGAAAGTTATAAAGTAAGTAAATGTACAAAATGACTTTGCTAATTTCCTCATTTTTGTCGATTTTCTAATAGTCCCTACGATTTATCTGTTCCAGAATGGACTGGCTTACTGACGACGTCTGGTAATGTATCAAACCAACGAGCAGACGCTAACATTTCTCATGGATACTATGGCAGATAAGATGCGTTCATCTAGATCGCCCTGACAATACGACCAAGTCGGGAAAACGAGGTTAAATCAATTCCACACAACGAAATGAATCCGCGAGCATGGTAAAGGAAACATAATATTTAGACCTTTATACATCCGAATCCGGTTACTACCATATTGCGTGTTCATACTTTGCCTGTTTCGCCAAGGGATGGGCAAACACAAAAGCGTTTCTAGGGCTCGGAAATGTGCGAGCTCATGGCGGAAACAGGGCAGGCAAAAATTTTGCTTCAGACCCATTGGTTTATTGAATTTTGCATGTTTACTGTAAAGCGTAACGTGGGAAGGGAATTTCAATTAACTATTCAAGGGAGTGGTGGAATGTGGGAAATGGGGCTATGGCGCTGAGTAATGGCCATTAAAGGCCAACCGAAAAATACTCAACAAGAAAGTGTCTCAAATAGTTCTTCTGATTGGCGTTATAAGTAGTCACAATTTTCACACATCTTCTTTCATCTAAAAAAGCTCATCAACTTGACCAAGCATATGTCTAGCATAAAAGGGTTTATTTAACCTTGATTGCACAGGGAAGATGTTACGCTCTTTCTCCCAACACTCGGAGCAGCATTGGGTTCTGGTTTCCACCTTCACACACACACACACACACACACACACACACACACACACACACCTACGCATTAGGTGTGAAGAAATTTCGATGGATACGAAAACGGACGAAGCAAATCCTTTTATACTTTATTAGAGTTCAACTTTTATGAGTGTCCGCATGATATTTAGGTGTAAGCTGGTTAGTTTTCTGGACTTTGTGTAAACTTGAAGTGGCCGTAAGAATGTTTTCTAGGCCTGACGAGGTTTATCAAGTGGCATGGCAAACGAAAGATTAGCACGTTTTTTTCGGAAAAGAAGGAAAGGAAGGTATCTGGAGTGGTGTGCCAGCCTGAACGTTGCAATCAAACAAATAGGCAGCAGAACGAAGGAAATTTTTCGTATATGCGAAGCAAAGTTGGGTTTCGAGGAATCAATTGTTTCACAATTGTTGAGTTTCCTTTCACTTCTAATGAAAGTGTTTGGTGAAGAGATTCGTAGGTCGATCCCACCGGAAGACTTCGGCGGATTCCTCTGTAAAATTGAAGGACAATTTTTCGCATTCTTCTGGTGAGCCTGAGCTACACAAGCCTCTTCAGTACACACCCTCAAATTTCTGCGTATCAAGGCCCGATTCATACTCCCCCCCTGTATGCATCGGCCACCTTGTCGGGGGTCGAACTCGGGACGTGCGGCCTCCAAGGCGGCTGCTCCAGCCTCCGAAGCCATCAAAGCAGTGGGCTCAGATTGCCCAAGAGGCAGATTGACCGGCCACCGAGGCCACACAAGCCTGGCTCGAGTCCCGTTCGGCCTGATCTGTGAGCACGGGCCAGCTTGGACTGAGGGCAGAGCGAGCCATTTTATGCCAGACCGAAGAAATGGTTGATTAGCCTTAATTGAGTTGACTCCGGTTGGACAGTGAAGAAAGCCGAAAATTTGGATAAGCTTCGGCAGGCAAGAGTTGCTCTTGCTGGCTTAGTTAAACAGGAAATGCATCAAATAAATAGCCTCAAAGACGCCAGGAAAAGCGACTGTCGGGCGATTCCATTAAGACTGGACAAGAGGTCACCACCGACAATAGACGGTAACCAGAGTCAGTCTACCAAAAGGAAATGGAGGACTATCTTTTGGCACCGAATGCCGAGGAGAAGCTGACAGTCTAGTCGGACTCATCGAGGCTGGGTGGTGCAGACACTTCGCTAATCCTCTTCCCGATACAACTT